ACAGGCATTACAACGGATTTGTTTTTCAGCATTTTTTTTTAAACCATTCAGGGTATGTCTACATGGCAACCAGATATCTGTGGCTGGACCGTGCCAGACAACTCAGGTTCGCAGGGCTTGGGCTGCAGGGTTGTTTCCTTGCTGTGTAGACTTCTTGGCTCAGGCTGCAGCCCAGGCTCTAGGAGACTGCAAGGTGGGAGGGTCTATATAGAAAGGAAACAGCCCCACAGCCTGAGCCCCGTGAACACAAGTCAGCTGGCAAGGGCCAGCTGCAGGTGTGTAGTTGCTGTGTAGACAGACCCCGAGTCAAAACTCACCCAACCCAGGCATTACTTTTATTTAGCCTGAAGTATGCTAGACACTTTACAGAACACAGTAAAGGCATGAACCCTGCCCCAGAGAGCTTCCAATCCAAATGTACATTTATAACATTAAGTTATAACTAGTAAACAGAGGGTGGGAGCATGGAGAAAGAGCAAAGATTATGGTTAACACCATGCAATTGCTTGTTTATCTTTGTCTGCATGTTGCAATGAGCAGGGGATTTGATGCAGTGCAGAAAGCTGAACAAGGAGATCAGAAGGGTTAGCATAAAGGCTGTAATCCCACAGAGTGAAGGTGGGGACTGGAAGAAGAGGAAAACTGGGACATGAACCACAGCTCCCTATGTGCACAGAAAGCATCTAGCACATTTAAACAAAACAAACAAGTGAAAGAAGGAGGAGATGGCAGAAGTTGTAGGAGGGTAATGTGGGTCAGGAACATACAGAGTGAGACAAGAATCCAGATGGTGCATTCTCTTTCCTCTTCCTATTCCTTCTGAAGACTAAGAGGGGAAAACCAACCCGACAGCTTTCTTTGACAGGCTAACAAGCTTTGTGGATAGGGGAGGGGGTGGGGAAGCGGTAAACATGGTATATCTTGACTTTAGTAAAGCTTTTGATACTGTCTTGCATAACCTTCTCATAAACAAACTACGGAAATGCAACCTAGATGGAGCTAGTATAAGGTGGGTGCAAAACTGGTTGGAAAACCGTTCCCAGAGAGTAATCATCAGTGGTTCAGAGTCATGCTGGAAGGGCATTACGAGTGGGGACCCACAGAGATCAGTTCTGGGTCTAGTTCTGTTCAATATCTTCATCAATTATTTAGATAATAGTATAGAGAGTACACTTATAAAGTTTGCAGATGATACCAAGCTGGGAGAGGTTGCAAGTGCTTTGGAGGATAGGATTAAAACTCAAAATGATGTGGACAAATGCTTCCCGCAGCTCCCATTGGCCGGGAACGGTGAACTGCGGCCACTGGGAGCTGCAAGTGGCGGTATCTGCAGACACTCAGGTAAACAAAGTGTCTTGCAGCCCACCAGGGGCTTACCCTGAAAAAGCTGTGAACCAAGTTTGGGAACCCCTGGTCTAGATGAGTGCAGGGGACCTGACTAGATGACCTCTCAAGGTCCCTTCCAGTCCTATGATTCTATGAAGTCTGGAAGTAGCAGGAATGGGAAGGCACAATCTCAGTTCCTGTCTCTCCCCCTGTCCTCGTGGCAGAAGGAGAAAGCACTGAGAGAGGTCAGTGGCACAGCACGGGGGCCAGGTACCGGTCAGTTCTAGCACACACTATTGGGTAGAAGATAGAACGGTCAGATTTTTACTAGTTTTTGCTGATAGACTAAATATTTCAAAGAGCACAGAGACGAAAAAGAGTGAGGTCTGGCCATGGATTGCATAGGGTGACCAGGTAGCAAGTGTGAAAAATTGGGACGCAGGTGGGTGGGGGTTAACAGGTGCCTATATAAAAGACAGAGCCCCAAATATGGGGACTGTCTCTATAAAATCTGATCACCCTAGAATGGCGGGTGGGAGGGAGGGAAGGAAGAAGGCAGCAGGAAGGGGATCAGAGGTGAAAAGTAATGAAGGCAGGGACAAAGGGGCATGGGAAAGGGGAAAAAGAAAGTCACCAGAAGCAAGGGGGCAGATGAGATGGAGCAGTAAGAAATCAAACACACAGTTAAAAGGCACTAGAACGCAGTACAGAAATCAAGTGATGCAGGGAAGTGGGAAGTCAGTCTTTTATCTAAAATGAGGCAAGAGAATCATATGAGAACTCAGGGAATGGGAGTGAAGTTGTGTAGTGATGACAGAGGGACAAGTCTACAGGCTCTAGAGGTCATGTCTGCTGTTCAGTGGAGTCCCAGCAGCTCTTTGTAAAATCCAGCACCTGTTGTCTTGGTGTCTGGTGGAGAGCGAGGAGATGGGATCCAGGGGACGCCTGTCCAGCAGCTGCAGACTCAGGCAGCAGAGCAGGGTAGTGTAGCAGTTGGAGGGAAGGTGGAGTCTCAACTTATGGACAATATATAGGTCCTCATACTCATGGACGCCCCCTCTTACTCATGGATGTTCTGGTGTTAACTTGTGTTTAAAGTTGTAAACAAGTAATCTCTACCAGAGGCATCAAGCATTATCCCTAAAGAAGGCCACAGCCAATCTTCAGCTATGAGATATTCACCGGTCACAGATGTGACCAACTGGAAAAAAATCTCTATTATCTTTATGAATATTATGTGTGACTCAGTTTCCCTGTCCAATTTTGTATTGCAGCTTGGCTGAATCAAAGAAAGCTCTAAATACGATGTTACAGAACCTAGTAAGACAGATAAAACAAACACAGCCTCCTTTGAAGCTGGGTAACAATGGTTAGAATATCAAATGATGGGAGAATTTACCTTCTTGGCTCCATCCAGGTTAGGATACATTACTTTTACACAGGTAAAACCTGAGATCAAAAGGCCCTTACCAGTTAAAAAGGTACCTCTGCCAGATAGGATGGGGCTTTTTGGGTGATCCGAGAGAGGCTGAGCAGGGATGTGTCAATGAAAAGGCTGACAGACAGAGAGACAAAAAGATTAGGTGGCAATGCAAGCACTGTAAATTGGTTCTCCAAATTCAGAGACAGGGAATAAACCAGACCTACCTGAGCTACAGATAAAGGGAATATGCAAGTAAAAGCCTCTGTTATTTTACATCTACTTTTCTAAGCACTTTGCAAAACAAATCATACTTGGTTTTGAAGAAGTTGTTTCGGTCTCTCTACAAACGTATGCTGTCACACAGGCTCCCAAAGAGAAACCCTAACCAATAGTTTCAGTCTCATATGGATTATTCTTAAGTGGTTTCCTCTCTTTAGTAATTCCCTCCAACCCAGGAGCAAAAGATCCTTCTGTTCAGTTAATTCCACAGTTTACACTAGCAGTTCTCTTTTGTTCCCTTTAAGCAGTAGCCTTATCTCAAAAGCCCTGTTTCCTTATGAGATTTCCCAGCAAACAGTTGTAACTAATATCTAGTTAACTTCAGGCATCTGAAAAAGGCTATTTTATTGCTTCTCCACAGGTTCAATGCTTCATTACCATTACAAGTTGAAGCAAAGGGTTTATGCATATCTTCACATTATTTTATGTGCACACATCCTCTTTTATTGGAGTGGGTAGGGTTATGAATTTTCATAGGTTGTGCTATCAGTAGACCTCTCAAGAAGTTTTAGTCTATAAAGTGCTGCCACACCTATAAATGTGACAGGAAACCAAAGCTTGTTAGCCTTGACCAGTTACTGTAACTGTTTTATCCCGTACCTGGTGATCACGATACCACCTCTTCAAGAATTCTTCTAAAGCAAATAGTAACAGCAAAAGTAGCACACCAAACTGGCACTCCCTGTGCAGTATTCAACTAGTAACACAATCATTGGCATACTTTGAACTTAGTTGATGTCAGACTAGTGGACCCAGGAGAAATTCTGCCAGAAATAGACGAACAGAGCCATAAGTAACCCGTAAGGAAAACGCCCCTCTCAAGCCTACAGTAACACTGCCTTCCTTTTTCCATTTTGGTCAGGCTTCTTGTTTTCTTTACTTCTATGTAAATACCACCACCTCAGGCAGCCACCATCTTACTTACTTACAATGATGCAGCAGCAGCAGGGCCATCCATAAAATGTTCAATGTCCCCCAAAACCAGTCACTGATGAAAATGCAAGTCATTTGTGAAACGGGGCATTGCGTATCACAGCAAAGTTATTTGGGGAATCCAGAGCACAAGGTGCTCTAGACATGGATCATTATTTTGCTTTTCATGTAAAGAAAGAGGCTTTTTTCTTCGCTGGGATTTTAAAACATCTTCAATAGTTCTGCAGTGTAAAAAAATGTTTTTGTTGCTTAAAATGTACATGAAACATACAAGCTCGGCAGACATACTTATATAATTGGATTTTAAAGCACTAGTTTTTCTGCTTTGTGATTTGTTTTTTCTTATTTGCTGTGGCATAGACTTGAGAGTATTCAAAATGAGACCCTGAAAGTAATCAAGCAAGGCAAATGTACTACCTTGCCATATGATGCACCTTTATAATGAACCAAGATACAGTGAAATTCCATTTATAGTGAAATAGAATGAAAGTCCAAATGTTTAAAACTATTTCTGACAGGGCACTTTTGCAACTAGTCTGATCCCAAAGTTTATTCTGTTGCCAGTTCGGATACATTATGCTAATGGTAATGCAGGTCGTCCTCACAGAAATGGTGAATTGGTGAAAGAGCTCCAGCCTCTAACAGCACTCCTTGCCAACTACTGACTGATGTTAATGTGTAGAAATAAGAAAGGGGGTTTCAAGATTTCAAAGAGAGAATAGTAGGAGTACATATAATATTCCTATGTGTGGTCTTTAGAAATGTGGACATGCTACCTGTATGAAAATAATGAGTAATATTCATGCTCATCCTGGAGTTGCAAAGCACTAGCAACTTACTCTGGTTCCCCTGCCTAATTGCTATGTTCTAAATTTTACTCAAGTTTGATTTAATTTTTTTTTAAATTTTCTTTTTACTAAATTACTAAAGATTTGGGCGGGGGCGGGGGGGGGGGGGGAAGGAAAAAGGTTTCCAAGTCCAACTGAAACAAATCTGGGTATACATTACAACAAAATACAACAACAAATATGCAACTTACCCAGTACCAAAATATGCAGCAGCATTGACAATAATGATCAACAAGTCCCAAAGGTTTATAATGGTACAACAGGATGCTTTGATATCCTTTTGAGAATCTAGACCTTTGTGGATTGCAAACATTAGAAATGCAGCAAGTAGGTGAACTCATGTCAGACGTTGTCTTTAACAACGAAAAAATTAAAGGAAAACAATCCTCCTCCGCTTTCATTAAGTCTCTGACTTTTGACTAGATTAATACAAGATTTCAGCCGTCAATTATGTCAGATTAAAGGCTTTTCAAAGCACCAAGAGCATTTTCAAATAAGATGAATAGTAACTCCTGTCTTTCTCTGCTCTGTTTTAAAAGAGAAACTCAAGTTCTAAGCTTTTGAGTTGAAGAAAGAGGAAACCACAACGAGGAAGTGCAAACGGTTGGTGAGAAGGGTCACATCTGAGTAAAACGTTAGCATCGTCAGGAGAAAATTAAAAAAAAAAATTCCATCTTCAATGGCAGCTCTAATACTGTACTTCACACACATTACTTCAGTTTCTCTTCCCACACACACAGCAAAATCAATTAGAGAGTCACACACTTCGTTGCTTCTGTAGCTGAGTGCATTATACACACCAGGGACACCTTGCATCCTTACATTCCACTTTACAAGATTCCTGGTAGCCACCCTCCTCTCTGTATTTCAGCAACTCCTGAAATCTCCCCTCTAAATCCTCTTCTCACGCCAGGGGCTCTGTGTACCCCTCATTCCTCTTACCATACCAGGGATCCCCACTGTCTCCCCATCTAGGGTTCTATGTATCCCTCATTTACCCCTTCTCCCATCCTAGGTGCTCTGTGCCCACCCCCCATACTAGGGACTCCATTCTCCCTCCCTGTCGGGCATTCTGTGCGCACCCTAGTCCCCACTATGCCTCCCTTACTCCTCCCAATCCCCATGCTTATTTTATTACACTGGAAGGTGTCAATGGCTGCCATCCACTGGTTCTTTGAGCTACAGAAATTTACAGAGCTGGCTGAAGCTGCTGGCTCTGCTAAACAGATGGAAGGAGAGGTGGGGTGCTGTGTGCCCCTCATTTCCCTCTTCTGGTTTTCCAATTTCCCCCAAAATCAACAGGATTCTGCCTGCTGATGCCTAGAACATTTTCTGAAGCTTTGGCTTTGATGGGATGCGGTGTTCAAAAAATTAGCACATTGCATCCACACAGAGAAATAAGAAAAGGAGTACTTGTGGCACCTTAGAGACTAACCAATTTTCTTTTTGCGAACACAGACTAACAGGGCTGCTACTCTGAAACACAGAGAAATATTACTGAGCTGAGTATATGGTCTTGCAAGCTTGGCCAGTAAGTCTTGTGAGAAAGAATTTGAAGTGCTTATAATGTAAGTTTTACTCAGTATGGATCTATTAATTTTTATTTTTTTTAAATCAGAGACTATGGGGAATTTAGATTCCTCCCACTCCCAACACTATCCTCTTCTTGGTTTCAGGCAACAGCCCCAATACTTGCTGATGAGTTAACCCTTTCAACTTCCTCAGGGCTGCAGAAGTGGCAACTGCAATAGGCTCCAACGCCTATCACAACCTACTACAACTATCACCCAGGTTTAATGGTGGAACTGGGACAGACAGGGAAGATACAGGGAAAGGGCAGTACTGTAGGAATCTGCATGTAAGGACCACATTCCCTGGATTCTGCAAAGCTATGCTCCAAACGGGACTCGCTGCACCATGGGCTGCTTAGGCATTTCTGCCTCTGTGCAAAGCCATCAGCCATTCCTCCCATCCACAGAACAATCATGAAATGCTGCAGATGTCACTGCAGTTCTGAAGTAGCAACATCAGCCATGGAATAGCTCCACTGCCCCCAATTGCACAATGTATCACACCTCAATAAGACCCCCATGTACAGGGTGACCAGACAGCAAGTGTGAAAAATCGGGATGGGGGTTGAGGGTAATAGGAGCCTATGTAAGAAAAAGACTCAAAAATCATGACTGTCCCTATAAAATTGGGACATCTGGTCACCCTACCCGTGTACCAAGTTTGTCTAGTAGGACTTTGCATCAGGGGAGGGGGAGAGGGTCATAGGAGAAGGATCTGCCTTTATGCCGGCATATTACAGGATATACCTCTTAAAGGGTTCATTTATACCTAATGAAATTAGCAACAGGCAAGCAGCTGTTTATCTGCTACAACACTGCTCTCAAGGCAGTGGGTTTTATTTTACCTGTAGTCCCTTACAGTTGATATGAGTTGAAGAGAAATTAAAAACATTATATGCCTAGCATTCTGATCTTTTACTGGACCAAAATGCTTTTTATAACTGTATCTAGTATGGCTCCAACACAATAAATCTCCTCACTTAGTACAAAATTTGGCAATTAAGTACCACCTGTCTCCAAGACTAGTTGAAACAGACTAGAAGACTTACATTTTACATCAGTTCAGGCACATTAATTTTAATTCTTTAATGCCTTGGAATGCATTTGTCACAGTTCTTTAATTTTTGAAAGGAAATAATTTAGATCAAGTGTAGACAGCTTAACAAAATTAATGCAAATAAATGATTTGACCTACCTCATCTCTTTTGGTGGGTAATACATTTTTCTCATAAAGAAAACAAAGTTTATATTTTAGGCATTATATTTAACTGTTCTTACTTCATTGTCAGTGGAAGGGGGGCAGAAACACCTCCAATTCCCTAGAATGCAATGCAGAACACTGGGAAGAAGCCTTGCTTTCTTTTGAAACCACTGTTGCACTATGGATAAGTGATGCATATTATTTATTGGTACATTTCCAAGCACTAGGGCAGAGGTGGGCAAACTATGGCCCGCAGGACTGTCCTGCCCAGCCCCTGAGCTCCTGGCAGGGGAGTCTAGCCCCCGGCCCCTCCCCCGCTGTCCCTCCTCCCCCGCACTTGCACAGCAGCATGGCTTGCGCTTGCCCACCTCCCAGGCTTTCCAATAAGCCTATCCTGCCACTCTGAGCGACATGGTAAGGGGGCAGGACGTCGGGTGTTGGATAAGGGGCAGGAGGTCCCGGGGGGTAGTCAGGGGACGGTTGGATGGGGCGGAGGTTAGGCGGGTGGGCGGTCAGGAGACAGGGAGCAGGGGGCGTTGGATAGGGGTTGGGGTCCCGGGGGGTGGGGTCCCGGGGGAGGTGGTTAGGGGTGGGGGGGGGTGCCGGGAGGGGGCAGTCAGGGGACAAGGAGTAGGGGGCGGATAGGGGGCGGGGGCGGATAGGGGGCGGGGGCTAGGCTGTTTGCGGAGGAACATCCTTCTCTATCCAGCCCTCCATACCATTTCGCAACCCCGATGTGGCCCTCGGGCCAAAAAGTTTGCCCACCCCTGCACTAGAGTCTCCACCAAAACTAAGAAAGTTAACATAACATTACACACTAATTAAGTTTTATATCAAACTTGATCAATTTTAAATCAAATCAATACTTCTATTAGCTGCCAGTATCGCCAAATTCTCAGCAACCCACAAGTAAGTTTCAAACAGCTCACCTGTAACCTAGTAACAGGCCATATGCACAGCAAAGAAGTATTTACACTGCTAAAAATCCACACTGGAATTTCCCCCACCTTTTTTAAACCTCAGCTTCATGCACCGGCAAAAGAAATCACATGACAGGATGAGAAATACAACCACCTTTATGAAATCCTTATATTTTAGAACTTTAAAAATCTTTTACAACAATTTAGCAGGCATGAAGCAACTCTTTAAGAGTCTGACCAAGATTTTCAGAAGTGACTAGTGATTTGGAGATTCTCGATTTTTGGGTGTCTGAGTGGAGACCCCTTTAAAGGGACTTGATATTCAGAGAGTAGATGGTCGGCAGTTTCTCAAAATCAGGCCCCTTTAAGGAGTCTCCAGTTGGGCACTCCAGAATCACTAGTTACTCTCTGCATAGGCAGGGGTCTGCCTGCATGGATTCACGGCAGGATCAGGGCCCCGGTTAAAATTATGAATGGGGATACGGAGGGTGGAGCGGAGATCAATCTGAATTTATAAATTAAACCAATTGGATACAGACAGGATGCTACAGAGAAACAAAAAACAACTATATTTAGTAGGCATGAGTTTATTTTAAGTCTTTGTGACCATCTTCAATTATTTTAACTGCTCAGCCACCAACCGAACATTGCTCAGACAGGAAATGTTGGGAAAGTGTTTGCTGTCAGACCACAAAGTAGTTGTGCAGTCATAACTTCAAGTAGTTGCACTAAACTAGGATTAGAACTAGGGCTGTCAATTAAATCTCAGTTAACTCATGCGATTAACTCAAACAAATTAATCATGATTAATCACGCTGTTAAAAAACAGAATACCAACTGAAATTTATTAAATATTTTGGATGTTTTTCTACATTTTCAAATATAGCTATTTCAATTACAGCACAAAATACAAAGTGTACAGTGCTCACTTTATATTATTTTTATTACAAATATTTGCACTGTAAAAATTATAACAGAAATAGTATTTTTCAATTCACCCGATACAAGTACAATCTCTTTATTATGAAAATGTAACTTACAAATGTAGGGCTTTTTGGTTACATAACTGCACTCAAAACCAAAACAATGTAAAACTTTAGAGCCTACAAGTCCACTCAGTCCTACTTCTTGTTCAGCCAATCGCTAAGAGAAATAAATTTGTTTACATTTACGGGAAATAATGCTGCCTACTTCTTAATTACAAGGTCATCTGAAAGCGAGAACAGGCATTCACATGGCACTGTTGTAGCTGGCATCGCAAGACATTTATGTGCCAGATGCGCTAAAGATTCATATGTCTCTTCATCCTTCAGCCACCATTCCAGAGGACATGCTTCCATGCTGATGGCGCTTGTTAAAAAAATAATGCGTTAATTAAATATGTGATCAACTCCTTGGGGGAGAATTGTATGTCTCCTGTTCTGCTTTACCCGCATTTTGCCATATATTTCATGGTATAGCATTCTCGGATGATGACCCAGCACATGTTGTTCGTTTTAAGAACACATTCACTGCAAATTTGACAAAATGCAAAGAAAATACCAATGTGAAATTTCTAAAGATAGCTATAGCTAGTGTGACCAGACAGCAAGTGTGAAAAATCGGGACAAGGGTTGGGGGGTAATAGGCACCTATATAAGACAAAGCTCTGAATATTGGGACTGTCCCTATAAAATCTGGACATCTGGTCACCCTAACTACAGCACTCAACCCAAGATTTAAGAATCTGAAGTGCCTTCCAAAATCTGAAAGGGATGAGGTGTGGAGCATGCTTTCAGAAATCTTAAAAGAGCA